AGTGGTGGGTGTGCTATGGAGGCACCGAGATGAGAACTTTTATTTCCACTGCTGTGTCCCTTGATGGTGTCACCCTAATTAGGCTAAGTCACGGGCAGCGTTTCGCATGCCATCAGCCGCTATTTCCAGCAATTGCTCTTTGCCAGCAGTACGCTCATCAACACTCCAGAAATGCCAGTACCACCCAGATAGATACCCCTGCCTTTCAAAGCAGGAGATAGATGAGAATTACAAACGGAAGAAGCCAATTTATTTGTTATTTATTCTTTCCATTGAATGCACTGGGGTGACATCGTATATAATAAAAGGCTAAAGTGCAAATCGACCAAACGGCGGAATGACTGGACTGTGTGACGTGCACTGACCACCAGGGGGCAGACGCTCAACGCAGGAGCTGCCCCCTGGTGGTCAGTGCGCTCCCACAGGGGGTGGGGGGACCACTCAGCCAGAAGGTGGGCTCATGGCTGGCGAGTGCAGTGGTGGTGACGGGAGCCTCCCCACCACTGTAGCAGTGCTAAGGACCCCTCGGGGGATGTCCTAAGCCGGCAGTCAGACATCCCCCAAGGGGTGCTGGACTGCGAGAGGGCACAGGCTGGGCTGAGGAACCTCCCCTCCCCCAAGTGCACGAATGTCGGGCACTGGGCCTCTAGTTTCTTAATAAAATTATTTAGGTTTCAGGTGTACAAATCTGAAATACATCATCTGAATATTGTATAGTGTGTTCACCTGTTCACCATCCCAAATCTAGTTCCCTCCCATCACCATTCATCCTCCCTTTACCCTCTTCTACCTCCCCCCACCCCCTTTCCCTCTGGTAATGACCATACCCATACCGTTGTCTGTGTCTACGAGGTGTTCTTTTCTTAGTGAGTATCTTTTTCTTAATCCCTTTGATCTTTATTTTTTTAAAAATATATTTTTATGGATTTCAGAGAGGATACAGAGGAAAAAATACAAGCGTGCACCCGCCCCCCTCCCCACACACACACAGACAGACAGAATTCAGTAGAAATGAACCGCTCATGGTTTCCTATTAGATTGAATGAATCCCCAAACGTAACTGTTTGCTTTCAAGGTCTGAACCCTCAAACCGGGCATGTGCCCTTCACCGGAATCAAACTGGGGACCCTCCAGTCTGCAGACAAACGCTCTATCCACTGAGCCACACCGGCTAGGGCCATCTCTTTTATTTTGAACCAAAGCTGTTAAACTTGGAGATATAACACATGTCTTACAATATAGCTGAAATGATCAGAAAACCAAACTCTGAAAATCTGACCCCTGGGCCATCACTGAAATCTTCCCCTTGGCACACCTTGTTTTTTCTCTTTCTCTTTCTCTCTCTCTCTCTCTCTCTCTCTCTCTCTCTCTCTCTCTCTGAGATTATCTTAATCAAGCCTAGAAGTACACAAAACAGTTTATCTGGTGTTCCAGCTCTCTCCAGTCTCCACAGGCTGGTGCAGCCAACATGTGGTCTTTAGATAACAATTCCTTCTTCAGGAAATTCCACCTTTTATCAGCATCCCCGATGGAAATTGCTTTTAAATCATGTTCAAGGCCCTTGAAAGGAAAAGTGTCAAATAAATATTTGCCAAATAAAAGTGAGTTACAATATCAACTAGAAATTATTTGGAGGGAAGCTCTGAATTGAATCATCTGCATGAGTATTGTTTTGTGTAGTGTGTGAGCAAATGTGATTTCTCATTACTATGTAATTAGTAACTTTCCAATTTCATTCATGAGACATTGCTATAGATTTAGATTAAAAAAAAACACACACCCATATTTAAAACAGACACAATCAAGTGTTCTGCTAATATCAGGCATGGCTTGCTTCCATTCCCTTATATTGTTTTAGTTAACACTCAATACAGTGTTGGGACTTAGGGGATGTTGAAGTACATTTTTCTTTTTTATATATATTTTTTATTGATTCCAGAGAGGAAGGGAGAGGGAGAGAGAGATAGAAGCATCAATGATGAGAGAGAATCATCGATCGCTGCCTCCTGCACGCCCCACACTGGGGATGGATGGAGCCCACAACCCGGGCATGTGCCCTGACCAGGAATCGAACCCTGACCTCCTGGTTCCTAGGTCAAGGCTCAACTACCAAGCCACGCCGGCCGGGCGGTTTTTCTGCTTATTATTTGGATGAGAGGTAAGAGGTAGTTATACGGTAACAGTAGGCTGAGATCGCTAGCATACTGCAAATTCAAGAATATACAGAGGAAAAAATACAAGCGTGCACCCGCCCCCCTCCCCACACACACACAGACAGACAGAATTCAGTAGAAATGAACCGCTCATGGTTTCCTATTAGATTGAATGAATCCCCAAACGTAACTGTTTGCTTTCAAGGTTTAATGTTTGCTTTCAAGGTTTAACGAGGCCAGTGATGTGGGTGATGGGGAAAAGGCATCTTTTCGGAGCTGCTGGGGGGGCCGTGGCCACGCCCTGTCCTTCAGGGCGTTGGGAAGATGGGCCAGGGACCGGTTTCCAACCCGTCTGAGTGGATGCGGTGCT